GGAAAAAAAATGAGGAAAAAATGGGAAAGAAAGGTTAGAAAAAGGAGGGAAAAATGGGGAGAAATTTGCTGGATTTTGGAGTCAGAGGAGAAATTCTGGGAATAAAATCCGAGGTTTTTTGCAGTGTGTGAGTGGATTTTTGGGGGGGGGGAAATGGGGAAAAAATGATGGAAAAATGAGGGGGGAAAACGGGAAAAAGAGAGAGGAAAAATGGGGAAAAAATGAGGAAAAAACTGAGAAAAAATGAGGGAAAAACGGGAAAAAAAAGGATGGAAAAGTGAGGGGAAAAAATGAAGGGAAAAACTTTAAACTGAGGGGAAAAGGAGAGAAAAACTGGGGTAAAAGAGGGAGAAATTTGGAAAAAAATGAGGGAAAATGGGGAAAAAAATATGAAAAAATAAGGAGGGGGAACGGGAAAAAGAGAGAAGAAAAATGGGAAAAAAATGAAGGAGAAATTGAGAATAAAGGAGGGGGGAAATGTGAGCAAAACCAGAAAAAAATGAGTAAAAAACCGGAAAAATAGAAGGGGAAAAATGGGAATAAAAAGAGGGAAAAATGAGGGAAAAAACAGGAAAAAAAGGAGGGGGAAAGTGGGAAAAAATGAGGAAAAAAACTGGGAAAAATGAATGGAAAAAGGAGGGAAAAACTGGCAAAAGTGGGGGGGGGAATGAAGCGAAAATTGGGAAAAACTGGGAAAATGTGGGAGGGATTTGGTGGATTTTGGAGGAGAAATTCTGGGAATAAAATTGGATTTTTTTGCAGTGTGTGAGTGGATTTTTGGGGGGAAAAACGGCAAAAAAGTAGGGGGAAAATGAGGGGAAAAACTTAAAAATCAGGAAAAAACTGGGGGGAAAAGGAGAGAAAAACTGGGGAAAAAAAGGGGGGAAAAAAGGAGGGAAAACTGGGAAAAATGAGGGAGAAATTTGGAAAAAAGGGAGGGGAAAAACTGGGGAAAAAAAATGAGAAAAAAAGACGGGAAAAATTGGGAAAAAATGAGGGGGAAAGGAGGGGAAAAAGGAGGGGAAAACGAAAAAAAAGGAAGAGAAAACTGGGAAAAAAATAGAGAAAACCAGGATAAAAGTGGGGTTTTTTGGGGAATGAAATGGATTTTTGGAGGATTGAAGGGAGATTTTTTGGGGATTGGGACTTTTGGGGGGAAAAAAAAGGAAAAGTGGGGGAAAATAAAGAGAANTCCCTAATCTTCCCCAATTTTTTTCGAATTTTCCCATTTTTTCCCCCTAATTTCCCGGTTTTTTTCCTGTTTTTTTTTCACCAATCTTCCCCATTTTTTCCCGATTTTTCCCCAATTTTTTTCCAATTTTTCCCGTCTTTTTCCCATAATTTTCCCGTTTTTTCCCCAAACATTCCCATGTTTTTTCCCCCATTTATCCCCATTTCCCCCAATTTTCCCCATTTTTCCTCCAATTTTCCCCTAATTTCCCCATTTTTTCCCAATTTCCCCATTTTTTCCCAATTTTCCCCATTTTTCCCGTCTTTCCCCCCAGTTTTTCTCATTTTTTCCTGTTGTTTTCCCCAATCTTTCCCAATTTTTTCGAATTTTCCCATTTTTTCCCCCTAATTTCCCGGTTTTTTTCCTGTTTTTTTTTTCACCAATCTTTCCCATTTTTCCCCAATTTTTTCCCAATTTTCCCGTCTTTTTCCCGTAATTTTCCCGTTTTTTCCCCAAACATTCCCATGTTTTTTCCCCCATTTATCCCCCTTTCCCCCATTTATCCCCATTTTCCCCATTTTTCCCAATTTTTCCCTTTTTTCCCCCAGGTTTTGGCCAACGGTCTGGACAACAAACTGCGTGAGGACCTGGAGCGCCTGAAGAAGATCCGAGCTCACCGCGGCCTGCGCCACTTCTGGGGGTAAAAATCCCAAAAAAAAACCCCAAAAAACCGGGAATTCTGCGCCTCCATCCCGGCGATTTTGTGAATTTCTGAGGTTTTTATGGGTTTTTTTTAATTTTTAATTTTTAATTTTTGGCAGGCTGCGCGTGCGGGGTCAGCACACCAAAACCACCGGGAGGCGCGGGAGAACCGTGGGCGTGTCCAAGAAAAAATGAGGGGAGAAAATGGCGGCGCCGCCGGGAATTCTGGGAGTTCCGGAAGTGCCGGGAATCCTGGGACTTCCGGGTGTTCCGGGACTTCCTGGAGTTCTGGGACTTCCGGGTGCTCTGGGACTTCCGGGAGTTCTGGGACTTCCGGGTGTTCTGGGACTTCCGGGTGTTCTGGGACTTGGCGGAGAAATTTCTGGAATAAAATCGGAGTTTTTTGCAGGGCTTGTGAGTGGATTTTTGGGGGAAAAATGA